GTAGAGTTGATTATTTGGTATTAACCTTTGGTTAATAGCAAGTCCAAGGGAAAGTAATACTGTATTGCCTTCTTCCAGAGAGAATGCTCTTATAGCTCTAAAGATGTTTTTTTTCTCTAATAGAACTTTTGGAATCTTAGAGAGAGTCTACACTTGTGCTGCTAATTCACTAGCTAATTTAGTACATGTGTGACTAACTATGCTTAAAATGTAGCTAGCGTGACCAGGGAAAGGAATTTTTTGTTTTATTTCACTTTAGTTAAATTAAAATTTAAAGTGACACATGGCTAGAGGATAATATAGCTTTACAGATCTCCAAGTGAATAGGAAACTTGTTTTTCAGGGCAGCTGAGAGTAAATAATGGATGACAATAGCCACAAACCAAGCTAGACAGGCTACAATTGTTGTTTATAAAGAAAATAGGCTGTAAGTTCTATGGAAAGTGCATAGAGGGGTTCTCAGCCTTCTTAAGAACTGGCTGAATGTCCTAGGTTGGAATGAGATCTTAACTTGGGGAACTAGAGAAGAGATTGACACCTGGCTGGTGAGCAGAGAAACCCATCTCCAAAGCTGAACTTCACATGCAATCTCTTCTTGCATTGCCAAGCTTATGGTCTGCTATTATAATTATTCCTCCAGTGTGGACAGAATTTTGCAGTTAGCAAAGCACTGCATATTCATTATATTATTTGATTTTCACAATGAGTAGTGATATAGGAGGACAGGGATTATTTATCCAGGAACTCAAAACTAGAACCCTTAGCACAATTCACACAGAGAAAATCTCTGTTTTAAGGTCCCAGGCTTTACCACCAATTCCTACTCCTTTCTGGGTTATCAGAGCAAAGAATCATAGAGATGGTTAAACAGAAGAGAAACAGAACCAATGAAGAAGGGACAAACACATTCTTCCAAGCTCCACTATGTCCCAGGAACTTTACTAGGCTGTGAGAATAGAGTAATGAATAAGACTGGCAAATTCCTTGACAGTTGTCAAATGAAAAAAGAACTGTACTATCAAATGCCCAAAGAACCTCAAATCTGATGAAGGCAAGGCTTGTGTTCATACTCTGTCTCTGGAGAGTCATCTGCCTTAAAGCAACTAAACAGAGACAAACTTTGGAAAGGAATTTTCTAGTACATTTTTCTGGTTAGCTTCAGGTAAAATGATTGCCTTTAAAAGACACTATAAGGACCCAAGAACTGTAGTGTATGTCATAATCAGAAACCCTGAAGCAAAGCAGTGCCATCACACACTGGGTTAATGTTATCCATACGACCCTAGGATAGTGATTCTCAAAGTTTCATATGCATAACATTCATCTTGGTACAAATTTCCTGCTACTAACCATGCCCTGATTTGGTGAAATCTTATCTGTATTAAACTACCACGAGATTCTAATGTGTTTTTATTAAACTACCACGAGATTCTAATGTGCGTGCCCTGCTCACCATATTTTGATCGGTTTTTCTTTTTTTTAATTTTGAAGTCTTCCCTCTAATATTTTAGTTCTCTTTCAGAAGCCACAGAAAAATGAAGGACATGGTAGAAGTTGGCTCCATTTATGAGACAGGGAAGATCAGGAAACTTGTGGCTAGAGGGGTGTATAGAACTAAGAGTTCTGTTTGGTTTGCTTAAATAAGAGGCATTTATATAGGGTTTTCCAGGAAGCAAATAGGATCTTCTGGTCTGGAGCTCAGAGGAGAGCTGTGACCTGGAGAGAGTAATCAGTTGGAGGGTTTCTGGCATGAAAATGATAACTAGAGTCATAGACAGTCCAATCACATAAAGTAAAAGTATAGTTGAGAAGAACGTCAAGAATCATGTCCTAAAATCCCCTATAGTGAGAGGCCATTTAGAGAAGGAGGAGTGTGTGAGAGGGCCTGAAGGAAGTTGCTGCTAAATTCGAAGAAAAATCCAAGAAGAGCAATGTTGAGGAAAATTAATGTGGAAAGTATTTCAAGAAACAAATGTGCCCACTATAAGAGGATAGGTAAGAATACTATTTTTCACAGTTTGAAACTTTTGTAAGAAAAAAGTTAATCAAAGTTAAAAATCAAACAGAAATTGGGGAGATGTCTTTTAAAATTATATAACAAATGATTGACATATAGAGACTATGATAAAGAACATCCAGAAACTAATAGGAAAAATACAGCAGAACTGGTAGAAAAAGACCAAACAGAGGCAGTGCCTAGACAGATAAATATGAATAGTAATGAACTAATTTAAAGGAGGTTCAACCTGACAAAGCATCTGGGACGGATGAAGTAGAAGTGTTTTTAAATTAACAAATACTATTAATAATATTTGTTACTGGTGAGGGGAGGGAGTAAAGAGTATCCCCAAATCCTCTCAGCAAGAATGCAAAATTGCAACAGTGTTGTAGGAGTTAATTTTATGATGAACATTAAAATCCTAAATGAGCATAGATGTTAATAAATTAATTTCACTTTTGATAGTTATCTTAAAGAAATACAGGTGCATGCACAAGAAATGTGCTCCAGAGCATTAAAAATAGTACAGTTTGTGATAGCAAGGAACTGCAGACACCTACAAGCCCACTAATGGGATATAATTAAATATATTTTAGTTTATATTTTTAGTACAGAAGATTATGGAGCAATTTAAAAAGAATGAGTTATATCTATATGTTCTCCAGTGAAAATAACTTCAAAATGTGATACAGAAAATGGCACACACAGCGGTCCTACTTATATAATAAAAGAGACATGACTTTATACATTTTCAGAAGTGTTCATAAGTACCTGAAGAATCACCAGACTAATAGTACGTTATTCTCTAATGAAATGGTACGATTAGCAAGTGAAAGATGATTTTGATTTTTCACTGTTTTTGTTTTATAGTTTTTGAATTCATCTGAATTTGTTGTTCAACTTGTGGAATCTTTAAGAAAACTTCAAAATTTTCTCAAGTTGCATTAAGTCAAAACAGCTGATGTGGAAAAATAGATTTATAATATGTTCATTTATTTACCAAGAGTTTAAGCACATATATATACAGCAGAGAATCAGAGAGGCAGAATTCTTGTCCCTTTAAGATTTACCTTGTCGTGGATTCAGGTTTGAAATAGTATTTTCTTCTCTATATAGGTTGCCCTTTCCCTTAGAGATTTCTCATCCTGACATAATTATACCCAAGCAACCTTTTGTACTTTCACAAGGTCATGAAGAAGTGTAAAGAATAAAGTAGAGAGAAGATCTATAAGATATCTCTAGAGCACAGCATTCTTGCTTCTCAGATTACCAAATGCATCAGGAAAACAACAATAATATTAGTAAAATAGGCTTTCTTGGGCTTCCCTACAAACTTGAAAATTATTTCTGTGGTAGTGTCTATGGGAAAAAGCCACCCTTCTAAATGTACTGCTAGAGTATACACTGTCAGTTGTTGACAGCCTGTACTTAGACAACTATGAGCTTAAATAGCTAAAAACTCACTGGCATCCACACAGAAGTTCTTGTACACATACTTTGTGGTTGGATTCTTTCTATGACATGCACTAAGACATCAGAGTTAATAGAGAATGTCAACCTCCAGGAGTAGCCGTTGAGGCTCTTCCTCCAGCTGGAATGACCATAGCACACCAGGCTTTAGCTACAAGTCCGCCCACACTGGAAGCTGAAAATTGAACTCACGCTTCTGAGCAGCCTCTGGGACACAGCGTTTGTATTCCGCAGCAATTCCCACTTTCTCCTCATCTCACACTCGTGCAAATGAAAACCCCCCAAGTTTTAGCTGCTAGAACAAATGAATATTGTACTCATCATAAAAAGTAAATGATTATTTCAAAGAAGGAACTACTCTTTAGTACACTTGTATATCCTGAGGAGAAGAAAAATTGTCATTGATAATTCATGTTCACTGCAAACTGAATATGTGTATTACACATAGATTGTCACAACTGAGGACAATTCTCGCCCAAGGGAGCCAGAAAGTTCTCAGGATTGAGAAAAAGGCACCATAACTAGACACTGGGTATTCAACTCCAAAGTCACTCCCATCTCCACCAACCTGTGTGACCTTGAGTAAATCACGTGACCACTCTGTGCTCTTTCATATTCCATTTCCTTCTGCAGGTTAAACTATCTGCTATCTTCCTTAATGGCTTCCCTGATATCTCATCCTAAATTCCTATAGAATGCTATTTTATGAAGCCATCCTTGAGTTTCTTAGGCCAAGTCAGTCTCCTTTGTATTCATAAACCTATTCTAAATTGCCTGTACCTCCATTATATAGTTTATCATATGGCGTTATTATGGTATAGTTATTATTCTATTTATTGTGGTTTATCACATTATCTCACATTATTGGTAATCTACAATTACTATTGGTCCTGCTAATATTAATAAAATTATTTATAATGTTAGAACTATGTGTCAAGCCCTATAAATGCATTATTTCTAATTGTCATAAAAACCCTATGAAAGTGGTAGTATCATTATTAGCACTTTTACAGTTGAGGAAATTACATGGAAGAGAGATTATATAAATTGATAGGTGGGGCCCTGAGAGTCATGGTAAAGTTTATTTTGCTTTAAGCCCATGCTTTTAATCATTACCCTAAAATAGTACTGTAAATAACAAGAGATAACATTTATTACATCTTTACTAGATGTCATGCTCAGTACTATGAGTTGTACATATAATAGCTAACTTGACCCTCACAAAAACCCTGTGATGTAGATTTAGTGATTATAATATCCATTTTTTAAAAAAATGCAATTAAGACTCAGAATGGTTGAATGTCCTGCCCAAGGTAAAAACTATAGAGAATGGATTTTAATGCTGATTGGTCTTTTCTCAGAAACTGTACCCTTACCCCCTACTTTATTCTGTGATAGAATCTTCTTTAAATACTTCTTTGCAAATACTGCTCAGGTTTTCAGGAATAATGCCCCTGGAAACAGAACCCTGGAGCATTACCCTTTCTGAACAATGCAAAGTAACAAGTTGACTCACTCCCTAAATACTCACCTCAGTACATGTGTGGATCCATTAATGGTTGTGGTTGAACAGGGCACAGTCTGGCCCAGAATGGAAGGTCTCCGGTAGCGCTCATCATCACAGCAGAGGATGATAAGGAAGGCACGTCTGAAAGACTTATTCAAGAAGGCGTAGAGAAAGGGGTTCAACCCGGAATTGATATAGCCGAGCCAGAGAAAAGCAGTCCACAGCTGCCCGGGGACCGTGTAGTCTATGAAAGGATCCACAATGTTGGTGACAAAAAATGGAGCCCAGCAGAGGCAGAAGCAACCCATGATGATGCACAGGGTCTTGGCCGCTTTGGTCTCTGTCCTCATGCGATGAGTGCTGTGCTGGTCAGCTGGCTGGGGCCTGCCCTCTGAGGGGGCGCCTGCCCGTTGTAACATCTGGATCTGGTGGGCATGCTCTTTGGCGGTGACATAGATGCGATAATAGGCCAGCACCATGAGGAGAAACGGGATGTAGAAGGCCACCACAGAGCAGGTGATGGCGTAGGGCTTGTTGACCATGAAGATGCAGTATGTAGAGTTGGAGTTCTGGTTGAATTTCCTTTTTTCTATCTGAGAGTTGCAGGGAGAGAGAAAATGCAGAAGGGAGGGGGAAAAGGTAGAGAAAGTAAAGTAATAGCAGAAAAATGTAATAAAAGAAAAAAGTGCAAAGAAGAATAAGATAAAAATAAGGAAAGGAAATAGAGTAAGAAGAAGAGAAAAAGGACAAAAGAAAAAGAAAGAAGACATCAGCAAATCTTTGTTTTTCTTATAATCCATAGATCATAGAGTTTTGACAGTAGAAAAAAGTATAATCTATCCCAGGGCTCAGAAAGCTGTGTATAGCAAGAGGGGCTGAAGGCCTCAGGAAAGAGGAGAAATAAAATGGAGATAATCGTTCTTCATTCTGTTCACCCATCTGTGGTGGAACGTAGCCTCCTTCTCCCTACCTTTTCTACCTGCACTTATCGTATCAGTGTCCCACATCTTAACAGGTAATCTTAACTGGACAGGATGTCTATGGATCAGTAACATCAGAAACATTTGTGGTGCTTATTGTAAATACAGAGTCTTAGGCCCTCACACAGATATTGGAACTAAATCTCTAGACAGTGAGGCTTAGATTTCTGTGTTACAAGCAAGGTGTTTAGTTGGTTGGTTGATTTAGTTAGTTAGTTACTTAGCTATGTAGTTTGCACTGACCTTGAATTCACTATGTCGCCCAAGCTGATCTCAAACTTGGGGTGACCCTCCTGCCTCAGCTTCCTGAGTGCTGGGATTATAGGTATGTGACACCATGCCTGGTTAGTTGATTTTTAAAAAAATAATTTTAAAGTTTGTTAGTATTTGTGAACCTTGGTTGTATATAATTCTAAACCCAGATCTGTGGAAGATGCCAAAGGGTACCTTCCTGACTATTTCTCTGTTCACTGAGCATCCTGATGAAGGTTTTTCTCATTTAGATTACACAACATTCAAAATACTAACATACAGTAGTGGCCATAAGGGGCCTTAGGTCTTAAGACAAAGATAAAGTAGATAGGTTAAACTCATGAGGAACGGGAACGCAGTATTCTCCCATTACCTCTGGTTTTAGTCTTCAAGGCTTTAGTTATCAATAGTGACCTTTAGTTACCCGTAGTCCGCTACAGTTCAGAAATTTCGGAAATAAACAGCTCGAGACTTTTAAATTGCATGTCATTCTGAGGAGTGTGATGAAATTTCACAGGGTGGTGCTCTGCCCCACCCAGGCTGGGAGTCGCTCCTTCCTCTAACATAGCTGCATTCTTCAGTGATTTGGTAGCCACTTTGGATATCCAGTTGGCCATGGTGGTGTCCCAGCACTTGCCCTCAAGAACCCTAATTTACTTCATAATCACCCAAAGTGCAAGAAGAGTGATACTGGCAATCCTATCACAGTCCATAGCTATAATTTTTGAACTTTACTGGCATTGTTGTTAGCCTCTCACTATGCCTAATTTATAAATTGTACTTCATAGATTTCTTTTTCCCAGGGGTACTGGGGAATGAACACAGAGCTTTAATACTGAAGTACATCCCTGGGCCTTTTAATTGATTTATTTTTATCTTGAGACAAGGTCTCATTAAATCAATGAATTGCATTCCTACTACATAGGCTTTCCAGAGTGCTGGGATTGCAGGTATGTGCCACTATGCCCGCCTACCAATACTTTATCACAGGTATGTATTCACAGAGAAAACTTATATGCAAAGTCTGGTATTATTTGTGATTTTAGGCATCCACCAGGCCCTTGTAATGTATCTTCCATCAATAACAGGAACTGCCAGGTACAGACTGAGTAGGGCAGGACCCTTAGGGAATGTAAAATCCAATCAGGGTTGAGGTGTAAGTGTTACTGCATCTTATTCTCTCCTAAACCCACCCCATGTAGGTATTTGATCCAACCATTTCACTAAAACTGCTCTGGTCAAAGTTACTAATGATCACTATTGTGACCAAGTCCAGCCTTCATTTTAAATAAGACTTCTATTCTTTTGACCCATCTGAGCTCTCCATCCTTTCAACTTGGAATAAAATACTTATAAAATACTTATGAGGTATACACATACCGAACGTACCTATAGATGGATGAATTATTACAAAGTAAATATACCTGTGTAGCTGTTATTCAAATACAACTATAGAATATTGCTAGGATCCCAAAGCTTCTTGATTAAGCCTCTCAGTCACTGTCATGCCCCAGTGTCACCACTGATCTTTAACATCATAGACGAATTTGTTTTCCAGATTGATACAAAGCAACTATAAAACGTATAACTTGTATCTCATTTAATATTGTATCATTCATTTTACTTTGGGTACATATAATTTATTTTTTTACATTGCGCTATAATATTGCATTTAATAATGTTAACTACAATGTCTGATACAAAAGGTTAAACATCACAGAGTTTCTTTTACATAAGAAACCCCAAATATAAATAATCTAAAGAGCAAAATAAAGGAAAAATTGTATGAAAGAGGGAGGTAATTTTTTGGAGATGGGGAAGGGAACCTGGAGAAGAAGGAGGGGAGGGCTGGGGGGAAGGCGAACCAAATATGATCAAGATAACAGTAATAATATATGTATCCAACTTCCCCCAAACAGTTACTATATATCACAAGCATACCCTAACAAAACATTAACCCCAATTATTTTCCACTCCACTACTGCCAGGCATTTGAGCAAGTCATGTTTTGCCTATTTTGACTCAAATGCTTATGAATATTTTTGAAAAGTATGTGTGGGGCATACTTTCATTTCTTTAAGGAATATATCTATCTAAGACTAATACTGCTGTATCTGTGAATAAACTCAGCTTTGGGAGATAGAGCCAAATATTTTCCAACTATCAATTTACATTTCTACACTAGGCTAGGAGACCTTCAGTTATTTCACACCCTCTCCAACACTACATACTTCCAGTGTGTAGTGGTATGTCATTGTGGGTTTGTTTTTTGTAATGGTTATAAAGTTTGATTACATCAGTAAAACCCTTCCAGTATCTGCAACCTCTGTCCAATGAGATGATACTAGGATTTGTCTTATGTTCTAGCTTTGATATCAAACAGTGTCATGGGCATTGCTGTCCACATAATTATAGTATTCAAATAGCACTTTTGGTGGAAAGTACAGGAGACTGAGTTTCTGCTTCTGTTTCCAGTTATCACTAATTCCCTCACTGGGATCAAGCATTGCCTTCATAATTGTGAAATTCTGCTGATTTATTGTCACTCTGCAGTCTTCCTGCACTGTATCTTCAACCTCAATCCTATAAGTCACTCACATATATGGAAAAGAGCACCATTTCCCAGCTGTACTGCAGTAGATGTTTGATCATATATGTGCATGTTTCTGTGTTTCAAATTTAAATTATCTTTTCTCAGTTTATCTATGTATGAACCATGCTATTTCAATTTTTATAACTTTTAATTTGGGATATATGGTAATAGATGGGGCTGGGGTTTTAGCTCAGTGGCACAGCACCTGCCGGGCAAGCACAAGGTCGTGAGTTCAATTCCTGGTACTGGAAGAAAAACAAAAAAACAAAAAGACAATAAATGTCTTTAAGCTGTGGGCCATGTCAAAGATTTCCTTGGCTATTCTTATATCAATATTTGTATATAAAATTTAGAAGTAGAATTATCTTAAAACTCTTCAAGGATTTTGACTGTAATGCAATAAAACGAGTGAGGAAAACTGATGTTTTTGCAATGTCTTCCAATATTTTACAATTAGGAATGATACTCGACAAAAGTTTTTTTTTCTTTCTTTGCTCATTGCCCTCTAATAATTGAAGAATTTCCATTCCATTTCTGTTTTTCAAAGTATGGATGGATATTAAATTTTGTCAATTTATTTTTGGCAGTAATGAGATGTTCATATAGGTTTTCTCCCTTCCTTTTATTAGTTATAGAATTTAAAATATCATTACATTTATTGCATTACATTCCTGGAATAAATCTCTCATCCAGGGTTTGGTGATATAGTACCTAATGATGCCAATATTCTTTATTAAAAGCCCTTGACTGGAAGGAGCTCCTCCCAATGTCATTTCCTGTTCTTGAGGTCAGCTTGTACCCAGT